CCACAGGTTGTTCTGGGTAAAAATGCTGGTTTTTCTAACCTACAGGTTGTTCTGGGTAAAAATGCTGGTTTTTCTAATCTACAGGTTGTTCTGGGTAAAAATGCTGGTTTCTCTAATCTACAGGTTATTCTGGGTAAAAATGCTGGTTTTTCTAATCTACAGGTTGCTCCAGGTACCCGAGCTAACAACTTCTGGGATAACTTTCGGAGCTATTCTCGTCAGAATCTCTTATCTACATCTACAGGTTCAAAAAGCAATGAAACTGGTTCAGGTAGAGCCGTGGGAGGAAGAACGAGAACCCGTCAGGACACCACATCTGCTAGCTTACCTGATATTTTCAATGCTCAACATAGAACACATCTTATACCTGATGTTAGTGTTGGTACTTCAACATTGCCAGAGGAAAGGTAAAAATTTGATAGTTTATTTTTAGTTCAATACTTTAAATATAGAATTTTAAGATTATTTTACACTCTTTATTAAACTATAGTTTCTCAATTAATTATTTTTCTAATTGCTGTACTCATTTGGGGTTATATGGTTTTCATGTTGGTACTGAGCTAAAATTATTGGTTATATCTCAAATATTTTAACATATTTGTTTTAGAAAGAATTCTTAATTTTTTCTTTTGGTAAAAAAAAAGTGTTTATGAAATTTATTTCAAAACAGAGTATAAATACATTATTTTTTAATTCTGATTTTAGATTGTATGATAGACCTTTGCCAAATCCTGAACTTCAGGAGTTAATGACTCAACCAACAGTGAAAACAGCCAATTTTAATAGAGTGCAGATAGAACCAGGCAAGTGTATGATATTTTTTAACCCTATCACTTCAGGTATCCTTTACTGTACATGACACAAGGTTTTAGTGTCTTACATTCAAAATTTTATTAAACTACTTCTTGTTTATGTTATACCAATTAGAACAGCATAAAATCTTAGCTAATAATCCATATTTTAATAGTATACAAGTTTTAAGTTCTTAATTTTATAAAGCAATATAAAAAATAATCCTGAATTTCCTCTAGTGTGACTCATGTGACACATTTTCTCTTAGCATGACATCATCCCTATTTCCCCTCGAAAAAGTACAAAATTAAACATAAATTACTTTCTATAAAATCATTAGTGCTAAACAAACCACAATTTTTATAGTTTCTATATTCTTCAATTTTGTTTGGTTACAGAGCTATCGATTAGAAAATCAGACCCCCTCCTGCCACGTCCACCTGTTACATCTTCTCTTTCACAATTCGTTGATAGTTTTATCTTACGTTTCATTATATATATTACCTATAACCAATAGAAAGTCAAGGTTTTCATCTATCAAATAACGTATTATATTACATTGTGTTCTGAATGGAGAAATGTCGATTTCACCCAGAGTATCAAAATCATTCCCGGGAGAAAGTTAACGACTAGCTTAGATGAATTTGTAATGACTCTTGTTGCATAGTTAGAAAGCCAGGAATATTTTGAGAGGTAAGTGAATTTGTGTACTTTTTGTTATTTGTCTATATTCTTTGGTGCATTATTTAATTAAATAAAAAATATTAAATGCATTGCTATTTATAGTATAAAAAATTAGGGTTAACTGTCACCTGCAATCGAGAGCAAGATAAAAGAAGTTTGGGTAAGTACTTTATTTCTTGTTTTTC